CGGACGCTTAACCGACTGCGCCACCCAGGCGCCCCTAAATGAGAATATTTAATTGTTTTCCTAAATTTGAAAAGATGCCCTAAGAAAACAATCAGGAAAAAATGCTGCCCTGTGGAATCTGTCTTATGCATTCACTCTATTGCTTTTGCTACATAATCTGAAATCAGCAAGTTGCCACCTCCAGGCAAAGCCCAGTGATTAACTGTTTAGGTTATAATCGTCACGGTTACTTCTTACTCAAACTTGCTCTAATGCGTGCCCCCCCCCAACCTGAAGCACCTGGAAATAAATACTACACAGGAAGGAGATATAGGAATTCATCATATGGCTTTCTTGCTCTTAAAACAGATTAAAATATACTGAACTCTTATAATACAGAGTGCCCAGCAGAATACTGGGACATAGTAAATATTCAATGGAAGTTTGCTGAACTGAAATAAACTGTGATCAATATTAGTAATATCCTTATTAGAATGATAAAATAGCTTACATCCAATTAAATTTAGGTAAGATGTAAATGACTGCATGCTAACTTGTGTTAAAGAAAGAATACACAGACTTATTTACTTCTATCTACCTAAAAAAAGTGGTCACATGCTTTTTAAAAAGGACAATATGTCACTTTTATGGGGAAACTGGATGACAGAGTGGGAAGGAGTCTTGTTTGCCATTTCGTATCTTTTGAATCTTGAATTATGTGAATGTATTATCTTTTCAAAACTTTAAAATTATTCTTTTCAAAAAGGTCAAGTGAAGAGGGCTCTCTTAGAGGGTTCTTTGTAGTACCCAACAAACTTCAGTCTGAAATTACTAAATTTTGGGGGCTGTGGGGGAAGAAGCATCTTATTGCACTATAGTGCAGTAAGTAATTACCAGTCAAGATGAAATGTAAATGTTACAGTTCTTAATAAATTAATATTACATCAGGCATTTTAAATCTTTGGGTTCATATATATTACTTATATAGTAAGTATATCATAAAACTGTGGATAAAATTACAGATCTAATTTTATTTGGGGGATATCTTGGTGTCAAGAGATAAGGGATGGAAGAGACAGAATTTCCCCAAATCAGCCC